AGTTCCAACATGGTGGTAGGTTGCCTTTTGGGCGGGATAGTATTGGGGTCAGCTTGGGCTTGTAGCAGTAGATAAGTTAAACTGGCCCCGTGTCGTGGGAAGCAGTGGCCAGCTGTAGGCTGGCAAGCATACGGATCAGCAGAATGGTCTCGGAGAATAGCAGAAGCAACTAAGGTGCTGGTATGCCCTCCCTCTGTCACCACGTCCATGAGGCCTAAGCCCTTGCCAAGAAGATAACTTACATCCATCACGTCTTTGTGATGAATGGCTGTCATGAGGTCTTGATATTGCTGTGCTGATGGGGCTTGCAAAGATTGCACTATATAGCATAAGGTCGCCTCATTTGTATCAGCACCAATTTGAATAGCTCTGAGCGGCGACTGGATTACTGACGAGCTGTCTGCGTAGAGGACCACTTGGAAGGGTGAATCCAACCTCAGCACCATCGCCGTCTGTTTCATAATATCCCATCCCAGAGTTGTCTGTTCCAAGGCCTCAATCGTCAAGGCAATTTCACCAAGAATCCCATGGCGTACACAGAGTCGCATACTTTCCCCTTAAAAAGGAGTGGAGGCAACCCTGACAGTCTTTAGCCAGAGAGGCCTCGCACTTATGACTACAACACAAACCTCGTATATGTAAGGGCTAGGAAAGAGTCCGAGGGGCATATAAAAGTATAATTGTTAACAAAGGGTCGGACCCTAGATAGTTGAGCCAGAATTGCTGTGCAGGTCAAGTATGGAAACATCACTGCATGGTCTCATTGACATACAAGACAACACAGGTTGTACATAAGAGCCAGTTCGATGCTACAGTCGCACGCTGTAAGCCGGTCTGTGGCAACATAGGCCTAACAGGTCCGCCGATCTAATTGATAGGTGACTTGTCTTGTATATGGAAGCATTAACGCTGATCAGGAATCCGGTGCTTTTATTTGAGCAAATAGGAAATAATTGCAGGCTCTCAATCAGGCATCGTGGCATAGGGCCTCCTGCTCACCAAAGACACCTCCTGCATGAGTGCAATGAAAAGATACCACAAACAATGAGTTACATGCCTTCTTAACTGTTGCACTCGGAACGACTTTTACTGATCTCTAAACAGGCAGACCATCTAGTGCGGTTACCGTCTTTTCACGTCCTGCATCCTCGAGGTGAGGGAGGCCACAGTCTTCGCTGCGGTTCCTTCAGACTTTATACAGCATGCAGATGACAAGATCAAACGCCACTCAGTTTTGACTTCCCTCGGTGGCTGGATCTGTGCAAGATTCAGTCGGAGCAGCTGACGCAGCTTGCACCGAGTCTTCCTCTTTGGCTGTGGCTTGTTCGTGCTCGATCTGCACTAGATTGCTCACAATTTCTTCCATTTGCGTGGCTGCCTCCATGACAACTGTTAAGAGAGTGCGTGCATAAGCCAACTGTTTACCAGCTCGGGCCCGGCCTTCTGCCGCAGGTCCTAGTGGCGGTACCTCCCCATGCCGCCACATTGTGACTTTGCTGGTTGTATGTGTTGGCATTGCAGTCGATTTAGCTTCAGACTGAGCAGCAAAAGTCGCATTGAGCTTCTGCAGATCACGCGCACTGTAATTCCCAGACGGGTCAAACTGTTGTGTACTAGTTTGTCCCGAGGGGTCAGAGTACTTTCTCTTGCCATGAAGGTTCTCTTCTTTTCGTGGCATAAGCTTCATGGCACTCTTGTGTTCAAAGCCAGTTTTGAAAGTTTCATGACCTGCCGAACTACAGCGGGATTCTCTGTTGAGGGCTATAGTTTTATCCGTCACCTTGCCTGCGCTATTGGTCATTTCAGTGAAGGGCCAGCACGGTGTACGATTTGCCAGGATATTGTGTTCATGCATTCTGTCAACATAGAAATGATTCAATTTTTCGTTGTGTTGGTGGTTCGTGATGACAGCAAATCTTCTGGGGCTCACCCAGATCCATAGGTCTTCCTGAAAGGACTCTGTGGCATAGAATGGCCATATCTGTCGGCCTCCCATCTCTACAAACCAGAAGTTGGTATAGACATCATCACTAGCCTCCGTATCTACGTGGCAGAAGTCGTGTGACAATTTGGCGGAGCTGGACCCTGGATAGGCCCAGTCCGGCGGGCTCTTCATGTCATCATTGAGGACAATATTCCAGCATTCTCCATTGATGCACATTCTATATTCATAGAAAGACCACGCATGGAGCTGCTTTGCGTGCTCATAACAGCCCTGCTGCCGATAGACCTGGATGCCATCATATTCCGTGATGTAGGACTCTTTGTACTCAGGTCGCTGGTGTTCACTGTGAGCCTCAGTATCGTTACTGCCTACAGCTGGGCCCGCTTGGTCAGGTCCCGGCAATGGGCCTGCCTTCAGCGTGACCTTATCACCAATCCATTGCGCCATGACTGTCCACCGGAGGACACAGCGGTATGGCAGAGGTAGGAATAGAGAGCAGGTAGGAAGAAGAGAGGAAGCAGGCACGGATAACTGATAGGGATGGACCAGTAAGTACACCCGAGGTACCAACAATCACGAAAACCAGCAGAGGTAGCAAGAGGAGACAGCCGAAGTGAGGAGAGGAAGGAGCAAGCAAAAGAGAGGGAAGGTAAAATAGGAAAAGGGTACTCCCCTGACAGTCTTTAGTCAGAGGAGTGGGAGCCCTGTAAATGGGAGAGTGGTTTGAGCCACAGATGTGCAACAGGGTGTACAAGAGTGCTGTCAAATCTCGATCTTTGGAGCTTGACCAAAACGTGGGCACGTGTACTCATGAGTACCTTTGCGGATCATGCTCTCTGTCGTGATAGACACAACTCTCTTTTTGCAGAATTTGCTAATTGGCGATATCCCTCCTGAATATGATAAGGTTAGCCCCTACTTCGAGCCGGTTGATTCATCAAAAACTTGTTAAACAGTGAGTAAGTTGAGTGTAACTGTGCTGTACACGAGCTGTGGCTATGTACATCGTGGAGGAATCTGTGAGGCCTATTCCTTCACGGAAAAGCTGTTCAAGCAGTAAACCATCAAGGCGGTCTACCGTCTCTTCTTTGAAAGAGAAAACGCAGGGGGTCCTGTGCATGAGTCCATTGGATATGAGGAGATAGTCCTGGATTCGTTGCTCTTCCAGTCTGATTACTGCATGTGTAGCAGTGTGTGCAATCCATGTCTCGGCATCAGGCATTCGTAGGTGTAAAATTAGCAGTTCGATGTTGTCTCCTATGACTCCAGAAGGAGGTCTTGCTTCGGGCGAGATTGCCCCGATAACTCCATCCACTACATCTAAGTGCTTCATTTCGTCACCATGGCAAATCAGTGTGCGCTGCGCGGCTAAGTCTCTATGTCTAGCGGTAACTGCTCGAAAACATCAAATGAACTCCACGGATGTATACTGAGTGATGTTAGTTGGATTATGTTGTGAACTAGCAACTCTTGAGCACATGATGGCCAGCGAGTGAATGGGTGGCCTGCAAATCATGCAAATTACACAAATCTGAAATACAGCAGCTCTAAAACCACAGCCATCTCGCTTTTTGTTACAGGAGGACGACCTCCGGTGCACTCAACTCTCTGTCGGGACTTCGAGTGGCCGCAGTGGGCGGATCATGCACGAGAAGACTAAATCTTATGGCGGGAGCCATCCTTCTGGCTACTTCTACTAGGAGCGTGCTAGGTTGTAGTCTTTGCACTGTTGAATTAGTTCCAGCTGCTATAGTGGTCCAGATGCGGAGGTTGGGTGGCAACCCTGTCCGTAATAGTAGAAATGCCACTTCCACCACTGTATCAACCGTTTGCTGCATGGTCCTGCGGTCCAAAAAACCGCCCAAGGTCGCAGTGATGTGTATTGTCTGGATAATCAGCCGGAATGGTCGGGCATCGATTGGCACTGGTGCAAGTCCCGCCTGATCGGTCATGCCTCCATCAGCAGCTGGAATTAAGTATAGGTGATTGACCCACACACCTCGTGTAGACGGGCGACTAAAACCTGCCACTTGGACTATGTCCTCGTATGATGCTGCTAGTGCTGTCAAAAGATGCTGTGTGATGCGCTGTCCATCCAATTCAACCTGTTGGAGGTCAGCTTCCCATGTGTTATAGATCAATTGCAGCCCATGTGCTTCTTCTGGAAAAAAAGGTGACACATCCACTCTGCACTAGCCGTACTGTGCGCCTGAGGTCTCGCACAGCCACCATAAGTTCTTGCGCTGCTTCCAAGCTATTTATTTCCAAATGGAACGCTTGTTCCATTTTTTGTCAATTAAAATTCGACGCGCTTAGATTCTTCAATTTAATAAAAACGAAAAATGATCGAAAATACGCAGCTCACTGTCGGACTTGATTTAAAACTTCTTTTTCCGCATTGGGGTAATATTCGCGAGTAAGACACCCGCTAGCCAGGCTTAGGGCTAGGCAAGGTAAAACCCCGCAAAGAGGGGAGAGAAGAAAAAAGGAGACAGAGAAAAACCCACTCGACAGAGGGGAAGAAAACACGCACCTTCGACAGAAGGGGTGAAGACACAGGGTGGAGAGGGAGGGTAAACGCGGTCCTTTGGACCAAAACTGGAAGGAACCCACCGCCCACCACTTGAGGTGTAAAATGAGGAATGAGATGAAATGAAAACTGAACACTTCTGAGAAACATCCAAACAGACAGTTTGGAAAAAACGAAAATGACAAAAAACTGTAACACGCTTTCACCAAAAAGTTCCAGTTGAAATTGGCAACTTTTGGTTTTTCCATTTTTGAAATAAGGTGCTTATCACTTCGTGAGTAAACACTTATTTCCACATGGAACGCTTGTTCCAGTTTTTGTCAATTAAAATTCGACGCGCTTAGATTCTTCAATTTAATAAAAACGAAAAATGATCGAAAATACGCAGCTCACTGTCGGACTTGATTTAAAACTTCTTTTTCCGCATTGGGGTAATATTCACGAGTAAGACACCCGCTAGCCACCCCACATCAAAGTGTCTGCTCCTTCCTTTCGATTAGAAGCAAGATTTGATCCCAGCTTGGCTTAACCAAAGCGGAACCAACGTCCAACAGTTGCTGGATTTCGAACGACTGGGTTTGACAGCAGGGTTTGAATACGAAGGCACTCTTCCAAACCAAACCTTGCGGCTTCGTTGTCTACGTAAAACACCACGTAGGACTTAGCGATGGCCGGGGCCCATACATGTGCAGCAACCCGCGCTGCCAGAAGTTCAACCTCGAAAATAGGGTGGCTGGAACGCTGGAGGAACAGGTCCAAAATCAGCTGTGGGACCCGCTCGCTGAAGAAGGCTTCGGCCTCGCCATTGATGTTGCATAAGATGCCCCCAACAGAGGCCACGATTTGCGACCCATCTGCCGTGGATTCAATCGCACCATCGGTGAAAATGTAATAGGTTTGCCCGGCTGACTTGGTCAGCTCCTCTGGTTTGGTAACGGACACATGCTCTTTGAGAAACTGCAAGGCTAGACAGAGTTGCAGGTCTAAGCTACCATCCAAAGAGCAAGAGGTCGCTCTCCTGCCGATCACCCTCATGGAATAGTTTGCAAACCTCCCAAACTGAAAGGTGTCATACCACCGCAGACGACCTCCGAGCTTTTCCGCATCCTTTGGTTTCAAACAATTTTGTCCAAGGGGTGATGCTATCAGGTCCAACAGCTCCTGCTTACGGCTGTCGGTATGTCCGATTTGAACTTTTCCGGCTGAGAAATTAGTCAAGTCAATGAGTAAACCCAATGCCTTGAAGGTTTCCTCGAAGGCACCTGCTTTGTCTCCATCTCGGGTGAAGTCAATGCCTAAGAGATACAACAACCAGTGCACCTGAGCTTTGCATTGGGCCGCAATCGAGGCGGTGGTCAAGGTAGGAAAGTTGCCGAAGAAAATCGACCACCAAAATCCCAGGCATACCTGTCCAAAGCAGGCGAAGGCTGTCGATATGAGAAGGAAGCCAGCTGCACATCTCAAAGCTCCGAAGGGGAGCGCACTGATCTTGTACACTTTGGCCACGCCTTGTTCTACACCCTTCACATAAATGCGGACTCCTTCACGTTCCTTGGGGTGGATTGCATATTGCTGATAGGCTGCCACCAAATAAAAAGTTGTGCCACCCAAAGTTTCGCCCTCAGGCCGCCCCACTGATAACGCTCGGACCAAAGTGGCCGCAATGGCGTCCATGGAGTACAGCACGTATTTTTCATGGAGACCCGTTGAACCATTGACTCCACATTGCTTGAAATCATCGATGACTCGTACCTTAGATTTCTGCGTCAGGCCAAAACGCCTGACAACCACAGGCATATCCAGGTCTGGATTTTCGTCCTCGACCAACCACCCTTTCTCTACCAGGTGTCGATCAGGAAAACCAATGTCATTCAGGATCTCCTCAAGCGCCAGAAGCTTCTTGCCCTTGAGGACCCGTGCTACTTCTGGGTCCAAAGGGTCCAAAGAGTCGTGCAAGTCTCTCTCCTTGCTGGCCAACTCACTTGCTCTTTTGAGCCATTTCCGGATAGAGGCGTACTCCAGCACGAAAGAATCGCGTGCTGACCAATCTTCTGCAAACAAGTTCCTTTGGTGGCCTGTAGCTGCTGCACGAGCTACGAAATCTTCCGGTTCCCTTGGAATCCCTATTGAACGAATCTCACCCACTTTTTGAGATGCCTTGGAATTGCCAGCAAAACCATTTATGCAAATGCAGTTTCTCTTCTGAGAGCTGCACTCATCCTTCAACACACTATCGCAAACCCGAAAGTCACCCCCATGCATGAGTTTGCGGTTCACAGTCCCCTTCTCTTTGGGGAGTCTTCAAAAGTTTGTCCAACTTTCAGCAGGAGTTTGGTGAAAATGCATTATTGCAGTGCTTGATCCACAAGGTTTGCCATTTGATCAAGGATTTTCAATTGAAACCAAAATACCGTGCAAAACACAAAATTTAACAATGACAGCGGTGGCGCAACATAGTGCACATGCTTTTTCCTCATTCAGCAAGTTGAGTTCAGTGAGCCCCGGTGATCCGTCAGGAAATTCTTTTGAACGAAGGGGCGCAGGCTGCATCTATTAAGGGCAACCTGAAACAGGAATTCCTCTGGCTGCTGAAGCTGTGCCGCCGGGCGGCGCCAAGTGAATATACACCAGCACATTGAGTTCAGCTTCCAAGAAGTCCAGAAAAAAGTGTAAATCCTTATCTTTCGTGAGGTCCAAAAAAGGTGATAAGCCCTGTGGACCTTTTGATGGCGTGGTCCACAGATGAAACTCGAAAATTCCGTTTGGCATGAGCTCGGCTTAACCGTGCTGCCCCTGCAAAAATCTCTCCAAAAAGCAAGTCATTCCATTCTGTGCCTCTTTTGAGGTTTGGAAAAGGCTCCGCACCTTGCTCTGCAGTTTCGCACAAGCCCTCATCCTGTTGGCGAGGGCTTTCTAGTTGCTCTTGTTGAATTTGCTTATCACCTAGTCAGCTTCCTCCGCGTTGGCGGCACGAAAGGAAGGTGTGTCCACCTTTTCTGCAGAATGCACAGATATGGATTCCTTTCGAACATCTCACAGGGTTTCCATAGGTCTTGGCTGAACATCCATCTTTCATGTTGAAGGCCCAACAAATTGGTTTGTTGTCATTCGTCTTTGAATGACCACCCTTCAACTCATCCGGCATCTTTACCTCCGTTGCTGCTCGGGCCCTTTTGCCCGGTCTAATTTTTGCCTTTGGTTTGCCAGCGTCTGGTTTGCCAGCGTTGGATGCCTCCACCGAATGCGCCTTTGTAGGCAATGGCAGTAAGTGCATGGTCACCCTTGGGTCTGTTTTTAACCTTGTAATTTGGTCATCCAGCGGTCGGTTTCCCACACTATCGGGCTGGATGGATTCCACTTCCCTTGCTAAAATCGTAAACAACTCCTTGTCGGCTCGCAACAATTGAGGCATGGTCACCTTCGCAAATGAAGGCGGTGGCTCTGCTGAGTAAGCCTGGAACATGGCTGATACCCAACTCTCGTGCTTGTCCCAAGAAATCAGAGCTGCTTGGTCAAATGCCAATCCACGTCGCTGAAAACACCACATAAGTTTCAATTCCGTTCCATGGTCAGCTTCAAAGGTCTCAGTGTCTGCGGCCATTTTTAGTGTCATGTTCTCAATCTTCAGCACTTGAGATTTTTCCTTCAAGGTTTGCTGTACCTCTTGTTCACGTTTTGTGCATTGTGAAGGGTGGATCCAGAGAAGCGACCCTGTTTCCCTCATGCTGGCGCACTTGTCCACCAAAGCATAACTGGGTTCCATTTCACCTGACAGAGCGATGCCAGTCAGTCTGGTCTGCTGATCCTTTGCCCTTGCCTGCTTTTCGGCGGGCGGCAACTTTCGAATCCCATCGGTCAAATCGCCAGCCACATTGCTCTTCAAGGTCGCGAACACTATAGTGCAGGCTTCGAAGTGCAACCTCCTCAACTGGGACAATTGGCCCAGTGTAGGTGGAACCCCAAAAACTCCTGCAGCAAAAGCTCCGAAGGCTGCATCATCAGGTTGGGACTGCGGCGTCCCACAAGCAAAGGCCAAACCACTGAACGTCTTCAAACCTGAATTGTCTAGTGTCTGGAAAAGCACTTCGTCACCGATCTCTATGACCCTCTTTTTGAAGGCCGCTTCGGAATCAAGTAATGACATGGCTTGCGAGGGTCCCTACTCCTACTACAACACAAATTCAAAATGCCTGACATGTGATAGTGAGGTTTTCGACAAGCATGGCTGTCAGTTTGAATTGGCAACATTTTTTGCTGAGTCAGTGTGGGAAGAAGAGCCTTCACCCAACACGGCAAAAAACCACTGGAGAGACCACGTGGTAACTGCATGTACTGCCACTGGAAATGGCCCCGTTGCTTGAACCCAGTGTGGGACATAGAAATTACCCAACACGGACAGCTCACTGGTTGAACCACGTGGCTCAGCAACTGGATGAATGAAATTGCACCATACTGATTGCAAAGAACGGTTTGAGGAAACAGATTCATGCTTACTCAAAAATTGAAATGACTTGCCAAAGAATCTGAAAAAGAATGCCGCAGAAATTCTGAAAACTTTTATCCACTCCTGGCCAAACCTGCCGTTTGCTTCAGGCAGTTTGAACAAACTGAGGAGTCCCACCTGATCTGAAAATCCCTGGTGTACGCATCGGTCACTTTGCGACCACATTCAAGGATTCTTTCACGGTGATCCTGAATTATGTGTAAAGTCTTTGACTTACTGTGCTGCAAAAAATGACATCCCTCCGGTGGCGTCGGAGGCATAAACAAACGAGGAGGTGCAGGCGGTTCGCTGGACTGTTCACTTTCATCTGAGGATGAATCAGTTGTCACATGTTCAGACTGGGCATCAGAAGTTTGGCGTTCAGACGCGCTTGATGCCACTGATATGCATTCCCAGCCTGCCTCATCTGACTGCTGTTTCACCTGTTCAAGCTCACCTGACAGGTTGGCGGGCTGTGCACATGGAGAAAGGTTTACTGCGGCAACCAATGAACTGTCCTTCACAAGTCTGCCAGCTCTTGACTCATCTGGAAAGAACCTTTTATTCCTGATCTCGTCCAAAGCTCTTCCATCATGCGCATGGGCCTAGCTTCTGCATCTCGTGCGTACACATCAGCCATGCGTCCCTGATGAGCATGGTGTCCTAACACCAAACGCTCTTCATGTGGGAGTCCACGCTTTGCTGCATAGCTAAGGATGGTACACTTGCATGAATGTGATGTGATCCTAACTTCATTCTGCGATGCAACCGGGTTCAACTGTAAAAGGAGTCTCAACCAAGAGCCGCACTCATCTGTTCCAAGAGGTCGCACTGTTGGTTTTCCCTCCACTGAAGGCGCGGGCATAGGGGGATGTACCTCCTGTATCCCTACTGATGCCCTGGCATCCATCCAACACCCGATCCAGTCAGAATCGACAACGCCATGTGCAGGTGCGCACAACTCCAAAAACCGAAAACGAAAAGCAGAAGCATGCATGGCTTTGTGAGTTGAAACTTTGCAGGATATGTACCTAATGTCATCACCGACTAATTCCAACTTGAGTTCCGAACCATGTTGAAAGTCCATCCAACGACTGCGTGAGTATACGCAGAATAACACAGCCCCTGCAAAAACTCGGTCCCAGACGTCGGCTGATTCCCGCACCAATCTGTGAAGCTCTGTCAATTGCACGACAGTTAATGGAGCAGCTTGACAAGGTGAGTCTGACGGTAAACCTCTGGCAACTCCTAGACATCTCCTACTGCTCACACATTCTTGAAGCTTTGAAATGTCAAAAACAAATCTGCAAAAAGTGACGGCTTCGACGATGCCCTTGATGCGACTTGGTTTGCAACCAGCCCTTCGAAGGTCGCACAATGCCTGGTACAGTTGCAATTCAGAACATGGAAACTCATGAAGCTTGATATGTTGAAAAAGGATTCCCAAACTGTTGACTCGCTTGTACAACGTTGCAGGTGCTTTGGTACCCATGTAGTCCCGAAGCAATGACAAACCATCAGCAATGGTTGAACACCCACGTAGTTCCTGTACCACCTTCTCCATGGGGTCCCAAGAGATGATGCATGTGAGCCAACGTTTCAACCCTGTCTGCAACTCAGAGTCCCTTTTGTCCATCCAAGTCTCTTCAGGATGTTTCACAACTGCACGTGAAAAATTTGATGTCAACACAGCTGGAGGTGACAGTTTAACCTTCTTTTGAACTGAGTGCTCCGCCACAGGTCCCGGCAAAATTGGACGATAGATGCTGCCCATGCTGAAGTCTTCCATGAAATCAAAATTTTGTTGAAAAATGGGTCTCCAAGCACGTGTCTCCCAAGGCAGCATCACAGGTTTTGACTCCAAGGCTTTAAAACAAGAATCCACGGCTCTTGCAAAGTCCAGATTGTCGAAAACATTTCGCCCAAAAGTTGTTGGAATAGAACCAGATTTGGCAGTTTCAGGAAAAACAACATCTCCAACTGATAAATTGTCTGCATCGAAACTGTGCCCTCCAAACAGCTCAAATGCCGTTTCTGCCACACTTGCAGAGTCCGAGGGCTCCGCCATGGCTCACCCCCCAGCTAAACGCGGTCCTTTGGACCAAAACTGGAAGGAACCCACCGCCCACCACTTGAGGTGTAAAATGAGGAATGAGATGAAATGAAAACTGAACACTTCTGAGAAACATCCAAACAGACAGTTTGGAAAAAACGAAAATGACAAAAAACTGTAACACGCTTTCACCAAAAAGTTCCAGTTGAAATTGGCAACTTTTGGTTTTTCCATTTTTGAAATAAGGTGCTTATCACTTCGTGAGTAAACACATAAGATCATCTTTACTGGCATAGAGAAACGGTGTTCTTCACCGCGGAATCGCACAAAATCCATGGCAGTACGGGTAGAGAGAGTGGGGGCCCACTAGATGAAGATTGCTATTTGCAAGTATAAAAGAGTGGCAATTAAAACGGCTGTTAGTAATGTTGTTGTCAGTCAGTTGCAATCCCGACACGTCTTTGGTCGGAAAGACAACGTGACCGTCATGGTTACCGTATTGAATGTCAGGCATGTTAGAAATTGGGTCATATCGGTCATGTCTCTATGATGACTGTCTCGCTAGGGTGTCTCAGTCAGTGTGATGGGGAAGGTTACTTTTTATCCCATTGTCGCTGAAACACGCTCACATCTAATTTTTACACCTTTGAATTAGTGAAGAGCCAAGGACACCGTGCAAGTTAACCATTGTGTACGAGTGAGCTAGATAACAAGTACAGACAAGTGACATGCAGGTTGGGGACCATCCTAAGCCCTTCGCGAAAATTCCATGAACTTACCTTTATCGGACTGTCTTCTAACTTGCTGGTAGGTGGGCAGGGGATATTGCTTATTAGGCATGCTAGCTTAGGGGGATGAAAAACCTGTGAGCAGAAATAACGGCATGTTCACACTGCAGTCACAGCCAGCAATGGCAAGAGGAAGATGAATATGCCCCTACTAGATGAACATGTGGTTCAATTCCCGTAAAAGTTACTTGCGTGACATGCGAGAATCACCACAGGAAAAGCAGACCAATGAAACCCTCTTTTGATTACCTGTCGATCAACTTCACCGGACTTCTGCTAAATCATTGGGCCTCACAGGTCATTGAAGATGGTTGCATAAGCTTCACTGAGGGCATACCAATTTTGCTGTAGTCGGTAAAGTGCTCGGTTGGCTTCTTGTACGAGGTCATTATGTTGCTTTTGCAGCACGTGGATGCCTTCACTGAGTTGGAAGATTCGATCCGCTTCATCTTCATGATTAGGAAAATGGCCTGCTATTGCATTTTGGCACTCTTGCGAGAGCCGAAAATCAAAGTACGGTCGATCATCTTCATGGACAGCACTGTTGATTCGTGATTGCTCACTCAGTGCGATTCCTTCTAGAGTTGGCTGCAGTGTTTCAATGCGATTGCCTAGTATGTTGTAAGCATGCATAATTTCTGCAATAACAGCACATTGTTGGGCATTCTTTGCAACTATTGCAAATCGTCTGGAGTTGGCCCAGCATGCATATCCATTGTGTCGCACCTCTGCTGCGAAGGGATAGAACCCTCCATAGCCTGCGATATTCAACCAAGCCTGTAGGTAAACCTCGTCACACTCTCGAGGAATGACCTTATGGAATCCATGGGGCAATGAAGCCCCCATCACTACTGTCGTCTCATCAGGAAGCCATGATTCATCTTCAGCCCAGAGGATGTTCCATTTTTCGCCATTGAGCCATGTGCATGCTTCCATCAAGTTAAATACCCTGCATTCTATGTTGACATTGTGACATAGCCTATGGATAGGATACTTGCCGCGATGTAGATTCGTCAACATATTTGGAGTGCTCTGAATGGTTTCAACGTTATAACCTTTCCAGTGGTAGTTCCTCAGAAAGGTCATGAGCGCGGTCGACATGGCTACGCGAGTGGAGCGCCTGCCAGGTGCAGTCCCGACACGTCTTTGGTCGGAAAAGCACCGTGGCTTGGCAGCTGAGGATAACCTGTACTATTTATGGTGGTGTCAGGCAACATTGTTAGCATCATTGGAGGTAGCACATCATTAGGTCAGGTGTATTGTCTGAACTTTGTTTGAGCCGATAGACTACGTGTGCTAGGATGGCGTTATGAACTTCGTTATCCTGTATTGGAGATCGAGTGGCTGTCGGCATGGAAGAGCTTTGATATTACCTGTCAATAAAGCTGAAAACACAATAAAGCTTATTTTCTCAGTGGCTGAACAAAACTGCGCTATGCACGGCGTAAACACATTGGGACTAGCCAGCCTCTCATATCTCAGCAAGTTGGGACAGGGGAGCTTGCAGGCACATTGTCATCTTGCTTCTCTTATAGTGCTAGCACTTCTCAGTCTTGAGTATACCCACTGCTATGGTGAGGGTGGGAAGCAGTTCTCTCTCACATCATGTAGTTCTTCGCCTACACTTGAACTGATCTCAATGCCATCGGGATACACCACTGGGACCAACAGCTCGGTCTGAGCATATTCCATTTCACGTACGATGCGAGCTTTGTAGTCAGCTATCATGTGAAGTAAAGTGACTTGCGCTTGAATGCTCTCATCAAGCTTTTCTGGCATTGGTATGTCGACCCAGAATACTTCCCTGGCCTGTTGCTTCGCCTTGAGCAAATGGTAGTGGGCGGACTGCAAATTATCCAGTAAGGTACAGCAAGCCGTGTACTTATTGATGACTCGTTTGATGTGTAAAAGTCGCTCGTCACAGCTTGATGCATCCGATGTTGCGCACGCCATGGCAGGCAACCCGACAACTAATCTGGTAGATCTCTTTCGAATCCAACAGACTCGCACAATTTATGTGGGGGAGAAGTGTAAGCTGATTGAACTCCGAGAACAAAAGAGACCATTACATGTTTGTGTGAGGGACCCCTGTCACGTCTTTGGACAGAAGTACCCTGAGCTATCTTAGAAATGGAAAGCGATACATACTTCTCATGGTCCATTGAATAGTTAGGGAGGAAACTACAGCACAAGGATGATTATGGGAGAGAGTTGCAATAATCTATGTGGTAAATGAAAAATTCACAAGCTTGGTCATTTACCTCCTAATGCCGCTACTGAGGAGCCAAAAAGTAAAGTATGCATGGAGTCCTCGACGATCAGTACTACCAATCAAATGCGTGGTTGGAGTGTGGCTCATGGACCTAGGGAGAGCAAGCTTGAATACAAACAGGAGGCACAAGCAAACGAAAAACAGACAGAGAGATACGACAGGACGGAGAGTAAATAGAGTACCATTCGAATCTCGCTACCCAGGATCGAAATCAAAGATGAGAGGAGTGGTGCACAATTGGCAAGACACCTAAACAGTTGACCAGTCATTTTGCTCACTGCGCTACTGACTGTTGTATGGCACGACCACATTGTGCAGCGATAAGTCCGCTCATTCATCCAACTTTCGCTTCATAGAGCTTTGACTCTGTTGCCTGCCGTGCTTCTCTTGCCGACGACTTGCCTCCCATCGTTGAAAGATTTTTGCTCGATCGATGGCAGTCAAAGATTTCCGGCCAATCTGTTCTTCACAAGATTCTTGTTTTGGGACTGCGTGATTCCTTTCCTCGTTTGCCAGGAATACTATAGCTTCATCCAGCGCTCCTAATGCCAATTTCAGTTGATTGACAGCTTTCTCCGTGTCCATGCCGGCTAGGCTTACCTTGTCAGTTGCCTTAGCCAGGCAATTTCGCAGCTGAGTGACATGATGGGATAACGGGTTCACTGAGCATGGCAATGGTTTCTGTCTAGGTCTCTCGGTCTCCGTGCTCATTGGCGGAGATAGGGAGTACAGAGTTAGCTACCTGTGAGCAATAAAATGGCTCATAAGTTGCAGCAATATGCCTTGCCTTATGGCTGTTAGGCAGAGAAGGGTACTCCAGGAAAAGTGAAGGTTCTACAGCACTTGTCAAGCTCATTGGAACGAAGGGCTCTATACATCTGACAAAACAGAAACAAACTAAACAAATTAAATAACGACAACCCGAGTGTGTGATCCATTTGACTAAAGTACACAGGACGGGTACTTAGGTCGCTCTACGTCGTTTGGCCATGCGTTCCGTAAAGGTAGCGTAGCCCGATGTTGGTGCTTGTGTGTTCCATCGGATGGGCCTCGTCCCGAAAGGCTCGCTTTCGATGTTTCTTTTCCTTTCGGTACGTGGGAGGGGGGGGGATTCGTGGCCACGTTGACATCATCAAGGGTTTGTATAAGAACTTGAGCATCTGCGGCGAGTTCACGTAAACTGAAAAGGGGGGGATCGCATGACTCTAGCTGTAATTGATGGAGCATTGCTCGCTCTGCTTCATAAATTAAATGTGGAGAGATTTCTTTTGGGAGCCAGAGTCCGTCATGAAGCCAAATTGCTGATGTTACGTGATACCTTCTCGTTAGTTCCTTGTAGTAAGAGATCATAATGTGTTCTTCATACCATTCAAGAGTTCGAAAAGCAGCACCTCTGACATGATCAGAATATTGTGGCCTCCTTAAGGACAGGTGGTCGTTAACAAGCGCTTGTGTTGCTGATTCAATTTGAAAACTGAGATGATATAATGCTGGAGGACAGGTGATATGGTGTTCCCTTTCTAGTTTGGCACACGCTTCTCTTGCCCCTGCATTCATTACAATTAGCGGATGTCGCTTGACAACAGCAAACCGCTGATTCAGCGGTACCAACCCTAGCAGATCAGTAAGTATCGCTCTCAGATCTACTATGTGCGGGAGGTGGCTGCTGCGAAGGAGGCGTCGCATGATTTCATAGAAAGCGCCGACCATGTCAACTTCCTGGTGCGTATTTCCAAATAGGAGTAATCTCACCTTTCGTGGCAGTCTTTGAGCACAGGGGCCCCTACCATACAGTCGGCCCAGACAGTCTGTTGCAGAAGCCGTATACTCTACTACTCGGGGCTTCGTGAGATTGACAGTGCCCGCTAAATAGGCCTCCACCTCTTTGAGATATTGCTGGTTTGCAGTTTGCACCATAAATTTATTTACCAATTCCATGCTTATATTCGGGACTT